AAGGACCGGGGCAGGCACTTTACGCTTGGCTGGCTCAATTAAACCCCTCTCTAGGTTTTTTTTAATGAATCTTTCCATTTCCTCCTTCTCCTTTGAGCTCATGGAGTATAATCTGGGCTTTGGGAGTTTTGCCCCAGGCTTGAATTCAATGGCACAGTCTGTGGGTCGGTGGGGGGGGAGCTCATTTGCCCTCTCCTTACTGAAAACTTCAGCAAGGTCTCTGTATTCCTCTGGTATTTCTGTTAGTCCCTTTTCCTTTCCCATGGATGCTTTTTCTATTCTTGATTCTGGTAGCCCCCCCCTTGGGGTTTTAAGTCCATAGGGTCCCCCTTCGGGAATTTGATTTCTGTCATCCTCCAATTTACCCTGGGGTTCCATTTTTTCGACCATTCCATCCCTAGAATCATTGGGCATTCCATGCCTGGGGTCACCACAAATGTTATGTCCTCCTCATGTTTGCCCAGGGAGAGGTGTATTGGTAGAGTGGCTAGTGTAGCTGGCACACACCCCTGCTATGGATCCATCTAACTGGCCAAATGAGATTGGTTGTTCCAGTCTCCTCAATGGGATGCCCAGATTCCCCACTAGTATTGGGCTAATGAGGCAGCGGGTGCAGCCAGAGTCTATTAAGGCTTTTACCTTCACGGCTTCAGGCACGAGGGGAATTAATATAGTCACTGTCTTGAGGATCGGTGCGATGTGTCCACTTACCAGGGGTTCGCCCTCCGAGCTGTCCTCTGAGGCGTCCGCCGGCCCTGCAGTGTAGGCTGGAGTTCTTTCCCCCTGATGAGCAGAAGTGGGGGGTTCCGCAATTTCCATCATTCTCATGGCAGTTTCTTTTGGCTTAGCTGAAGACTTTCCGGATTTGCTGATTGGGGATCTGTCTGGGTTGTGCTGGGGGGCTTTGGAGTGGCATTTTACAGCTCGATGCCCTTCTCTTCTGCACTTGAAACACCCCATTCGCTTCTTGGCTGTAGTCGATGATTTCACCGGTTCGTGTGTCAACTCAGGCGGGCAGCGGCTCCATTGTTTTCCTCGGTGGTGTCTCTTCAATATGTCGATCTCTGCTTCCTATGCCAAGATGTACCATTCCTCAAGTTGGTGTGGGTCCCCTCGGGGCAGGCAAGTGTCATATAGGTCATCATTTAGTCCGTCTTTGAAATGGCTAAGGAGGATGGCCAGTTCAGTTTGCTGGCAATGGCCCGGAATTCTTGTGTATATTCAGCCACCGGGCATTTGCCTTGCCTCATCGTTTTTATCCTTTCACAGGCTTTGCGTTCAGCCAGGGGGTCTTCAAATTGTCTTCTCAAAGAGGACATGAAACGGTTGAAGTCGCTGAGTTCTGGGGCGTTGGAGTCATGCAAGTTCACCACCCAGTCTGCTGCTGGTCCATCCAGGGTGGATTGCACGATCCGGATGCGGGCTTTGTCACCGGGGATGTCCCGCCCGTATTCCTCCATGTAACTGAGGACTTGGGTTAGGAAAAACCCCAAGTGTGTTGGCTCCCCTTTGAATTTCACCTCCAACGGCGGACGTCTTGGAATGGATCGGTGCCTCCGTTGTCGGTGGTAGTGTCTTCCATCCCGATCGCCATCTGTGATCCGCTAGGGGGTGGGGACTACTGGATCAGCAGATGTCCCCAGGGTTGCAGGTTCCATTTCCCCATCGATGTCTTTCCCTTTGCGGCTCCAGGAGCTGGGGCAGCCGTTGGGCTCAGGATTCTCCTTTCTTAGGGAGCTGAGAGTTCTCTTCATCAGGTCAATAGCTTTCTCTAGGATCCAGTCTGAGTATGGTGCCCAGCTATCTCCCTCTTCACTTGCCTGCAGGGATTTCTCCATCTCCTGCTTCCATTCTGGTTGCTTGGTCCCCCGTCTCAGGGTCACCTTTCTTGATTCCTTTCTCCACTCACTTTTCTTTCCAACGCCCATTGACCAGCGAGGCTTGTGGTCCCATGTCTCCACCACTTCTTCTCCTGAGGAATCTGACCTCTCGGATCCCAACATCTGGTAAGGTCCCAATTGGGTCAGCGGCTCTCTTTCCAGGGAGTTTTCCCCCTTTCTTGCTCCATTGTCTGACATGGTAATTTTTTGCAAAATCCCCTGGCAAGGGTCTCCCTTCCAGGTGGATTAATTTTGCAAGTCCTGTCTAATGTAAGGACCCACCCCACTTTGCATCTTAAGAAGACAGAACTCTTGGAATAATTCTTCCAACAGGAATCCTTTATTAAGAGAAAATGGTTGCAGGCATTCTAGACAGGACTTGGGGTCCAAGCTCTCCCATTCAAGGTTTTAAGGGGTTTCCCAGTAGCCCTACCCAATCCCCCCCTACTTCCAGCAATAGTCTCAGGCATTACATTCCCACCCCTTTTCTTTACTGCCAGCTGGATGGAGACATCAGAGAAAACTACATGAAAGGTAATAGCCCCCTTTGTTATGATTAGGCCTTTTTGATGCTATCCACATTCAATCCCTTTGAAATTGTACCGAAGGAAGTGAGGGCCAGAAAGCCCCTTTGTTCCCCCCCTTCCCTTCCTTGTATGACAGAATCCAGAGAAGGCAGAGATGGGGTTTTCTATAATTGATAACTAGAGATGAAATATAATTGGATTATATAATCTGAATCTGTAGAAAAATTTCAAACATGATTGCATTAATGTACAAATCATTTATTGAAGTCAAGTTAGAAGTATAATTGGTTAACAAAAATTGCCATGAACTAAATTGTCAACATTTATTTTCAGCTACATTTCATTCTGCATTTCTAAATTAAAGTAAGTATGGAGGTGGTAAGGATGAGATAACCTTATTGCATCAAATTGCATCATGAAGTCTTAATTCAAAAACTTCCAATTACTGCAATCATTTAACTGCAAATGAATACTGGTAAGTGTGCCACATTTTCAAAGAAAGGGCAAGCACACCTATGCCCATTCTGAAGCACCTTCCCAATTTAGAAATTATATCCCTTAATAACATTGCTATTGGTTTTCCCAGCAATGTATATAGATGGAAATAATCAAACAGTTTCACTTAAGAAATATGTCATCAAGTCTGTGGCAATCACATAGATAGATTTTCTCCATGATGATCTGTCTCTAACCTGGTCTTTCAATGGTGCACTAATTGCCTTTGTAACTGACTCAGTTTACCTTACTGCTGGCCATCCTCTTGTTATCTTCCCTTTCACCTACCCCAGCATGCAAATCTTTTCCAGGGAGCTGGGTCTTCACGTAATGTGTCTGAAGTAAGATAACTTGTAATTGGTCATTTGTTCCTTGAATGAGAACTCTGAGTTGATTTGTTCGATAATCTATTTGTTTATTTTCTTGATTGCCTATAGCAGTGATGGCGAACCTTTTAGAGATTGAGTGCCTAACCTGCAACCGAAAACCCACTTATGCATCGTCGAGTGCCGGGTGGGTATGGCCCATTGAGTGGACGTGGCTGTGGTGGTAATGGCAGACTGGGACTAAAATGTTCAATTAATTTCAACTTTGCAAGATCTTTTTTCCCCGTGAAAACTTGAAATTGACTGATTGCACACGGCGGTGGAGGCCTAAAGCAAAAAGCTTTTATAAAACCCAGCTGAATGCCTAGGACTGGGACGACGGCACATGTGCCCACAGAGAGGGCTCTGAGTGCCACCTCTGGCACCCATGCCATAGGTTCGCCACCACTGGCCTATAGTATTTTCAGGAGTCTTCTCCAATACCACCATTCTAAAATGATGGAAGGATGAAGCATGATTCTGTTACTATGGTTGTTACAATAAACATAGTTCTGTCTTATATGATGTTGGTTTCTCAGTCTTGACTACGGGTAGACCTCAACTTCTGACCATAATGGATCCTGCCAAGTATGGTCAGAGGTTGTGACAGTTGCAAAGTAGATCATCATGTGATTAAGACCACAGTTTTTTATGTTGGTTGTTAAGTGATGACAGTGGTTATCAAGCAAATATTGTAATTGTTAAGCAGCAGTCATTAAGTTAATTCATTGTTGGCTATGGTGCTTTTGCTGAAAACCAGAACTAAATGCTGGAGGGGTTTTTGCAAAAAAATAAATAAATAAATTATGGTCACATAATGACAGGACTTTGGAAATGGCTGTAAATATGAGCTGGTTGCTGAGTGCTTGAAATGTGGTCTTGTGACTATGAGGGAAGGCAATAGCAATAGCACTTAAACTTATATACCACTTCACAGTGCTTTGCAGCCCTCTCTAAGCAGTTTACAGAATCAGCATTTTGCCCCCAACAACCTGAGTCCTCATTTTACTGATCTCAGAAGGATGGAAGGCTGAGTCAACCTTGAGCTGGTGAGAACTGCTGGCAGTTGACAGAATTAGTCTGCAATACTGCATTCTAACCACTGAGCCACCAAGATCAGGCAACTCTCAGAACTTTGGAATCATATCATAAATACATTTTGGGGGATCCGTTGTAACTTTGGTTGCTAAGCAACCAGTCATAAGTCAAGGACTCCCTCTACCATACATTCCAGTTTCCCTGGGATCAGCCCAATTTATATTTATTGTACTGATTTATCATTTGCCCTGGGTTTATACTCTCAATTACTCCCTCTACCATACATTCCAGTTTCCCTGGGATCAGCCAATTTATATTTACTGTACTGATTTATTATTTGCCCTGGGTTTATACTCAATTAATTGAGAGTATAAACCCAGGGCAAATGATAAATCAGTACAGTAAATATATGTAAATATATGTACAGTAAATATATGTAAATATATGTACAGTAAATATATGTAAATATATGTACAGTACAGTAAATATATGTAAATATATGTACAGTAAATATATGTTTACCCCCTCAGTGCTGGCCTGTGTGGTGCTGCTCTATTCTCTTACACAATGCTGTTTTTGCATGGCATTGCCATTGTCTTTTCCATAGGACCAGCTTGTGTGCTGCCACTGCCTTTCCCCCCAAGAGGGCTGGTTTGTGTGGAGAAAGAATATGGCAGCACGGAAACCACCATTGCAGGAAAGAAAGTGGAGAAAAGATCTGGAGGCCTTCCAATGGAGGTAATAACAGAGAAATAAACAAACATTGTCAGAGCGTGCACAGTCTTATTGCACTGAGATAACCCAGGAGTAAACACAGTAAACAGTAGTTTGTATTAAATGGTGGTTTATCTTACACTACCTACAATATCATACACCAGGAACAATATAAATACACGTGCTAATACAGCAGGATCCAACAAAGCACAATTACAGCAGGAAATGGAAGAGAAAGAGAACACATCAGCAGAGCCTTTCCTTTATACAAATGCTCTTAAAGAGACATAGACCTTGCTGAGTCATTCCCATCATTACATTAAATCGTACATCTTACATTACATAAGCTGGTTAGCTATTAAATCAATATTTTGACACTCCTCCCATTTAAAGCTAAACAGCTGTTATCCCAAATGCTTTTATATACTCTTGATGCTTGCCTGCATTTAAAGTCTTTGTCAACATATTGGCTATATTGTTGTTAATGGAACAATGCTGTAACTTTATTAGTTATCCTTTACAGCCTCCCTGACATTACAATATTTTATATCTATATGTTTGCTTATACTTCCAATACGTTCTCCCATTGCCATCTTTATACATGCAACATTGTCCTCAAATATTGGCACAGCTTCTTTTACATCAATACATACATCTCTTATTAACTGGACATTTTTTCTCTGTGTTAATCTTTGCGCAACTAACTCCCTTATACTGCAGTTCATTATTGTGTAAAACCTTCTTTTTATATACCCATTTACACCTGATGGCCTTTTGTCCTTCTGATAATCTCATAGAGGTAAACACCTGATGCACATTCATTGACTCCATTTCTCTATCCATAGCCTCCTTCTATTTTATCCTGTTCTACTTTAGGCAATGACATCATTTCTTGGTAATTACGGGATTCATACCTTACACTATACACTGTAACCCCACTTGCTGAGAACCGATCGGGAGGTACCCCTTTATTGCTATGTTCAGACCTCCTTGGTATCATCTGTTCCTGTGTATCTGTGACTTCTCTCTTTACCTCAGGTCTATCCTCTTCTATTTCTACTATTTCTGACCTGCTAACCTGTTCTTTCTTCATTGGGCTTTGGGTAGCCTCTTTTTTCTGAGAACTAGCGCTACATATTGGCATGAACACCTTGGTGTTTGCATGCATCCTGTCCCAATTATTTTGTTCTGCAAAACTAGCAGACTTTGAAATCACAGCCTTCTTTGTTCCATCTGTGAATCTATACTCTTTGGAACCTGGCTCATATCCAACAAACCTAAGTTTCCTGGCCTTTTTCTTTCCTTGCCTTCTGATACTTTTTGGAATATGCACCCAGGCATAAATGCCAAATGTCCTTAGGTGAGCCAATGAAAGTTTCCTTCCATATAACAGGTAATATGGAGTTTCATTTATAGCAACACTCCATACTCTGTTTACTAAATAGTTGGCTGTTTACATGGCTTCCCCCCAGTATGTTTTACTCATTCCTGCATCTACCAGCAGTGAGACTTTCATGGTTTTCAATACGCCATTCCTCCGTTCAGCAACTCCATTTTCTGCTGGCAAGTACGGATTCATAAGTCTATGCCTTATGTCTAAGGTCCTCAGCTACTTTTGGAAATGAACTCTGTTCCCCTGTCTGTTTATAGCTGGCATACTTTATGGCCATATCTTCACTCTACAAAGTTCACCCATTGCCTGAACTGTTGTAGAACTTCTGTTCTGCTCTTTAATTGATAGCAAAACTCATATCTGGTGTAGTCATCTACTAAGACTAGTGTTCTGTCCCAGCCTGATCTATGTCCTTGTTACTTCACAAAGACAACCCCTCTTTGAACAGTAGACTGGAAAATAAACCCTTTTTATTTGAGTTACAGACCTGATAATTGTCCCAGAAAACCAAAGCAACAGAACACTTTTCCAATGGAGACCTTGTCCAAAAGCAAAAACGGAGCACGAGTCAAACAGGAAATAACTCACAGACAAAATAAACAGACCATGATCTCTTTACTCTGAAGTTCTTTGCAAACGATTGCCTCCAGCAACCAGCCGACACATTCCTTTTTTGTTATGCAGCTCCCAAGGCGTGGCTTCTCACTGCTTCCTCCTCCTCCCCTGGAGTTGCCCCATTGCCTTCCTCCGTCTTACTTGTGTGACCTGCCTACATTTATGAGTGTCTCTGAGGTCTTCCAGGTGTGCTTCTTCTGAATCCGACTCATCTTCCCAGCACAGCTGGCTCTCAGCTCGATCACGAGTGGAAGCACCAGCCTCTTCATCAGTCTGTAAGTTCTGCAGCTCATCAGAGCTTCCCTCTGACTCTGATGGCTCTCCAGACCCCTCCTCCTCCTCCTCTGATTCCCCAGACTCAGCTACCAAGATCACAAGCTGGCATGGAATCACAACAACTAGTACGTACCTAACTCCTCCTAGAGAGGGCACCATCGGACCAATTAAATCAGCGTGCATTAACTGCAAAACTCTGTCTTGAGCTTTTCTTACTTACAGGATACACTCTGGACTTTGACTCCTTACAAATAGCACAATCTAAATAAGTGTTGCATTGTTTAATGTTAAATTCCTCAACTAGTTCTGGCATCCTTTGCAGCACTCTAAAACTTGCATGTATATATGCAATTATCATGCATGGGAGTGTTTCTAAATGTTTGTGCACAACTATACTGCTGATGTTGTAGTTCTAGGCCTGGTCTGTGTATTGTCGTCACTCCCTCTCTGCCGTTTCTGTTCCTCTTCCAGCAACCAGCCAGTCGAATAACTCACGGTTAAGTCCCTGTCTTGCATGGACTCTAAACTGGTCACTAGGACATCCCATGAAGTATCCAATAAAATGCGACCACATACACCTTATGTGCCTCAATAAAAGTCATTCCTCTTTCTTCTAACTCTAGGAATGTCTTTCTCATGGATTGCAAATGTGTAGACATGCTCTCTCCCAGTTTCAGTTGGCCTTATATAGCTTTCTTGTCAGCATTACTTTGCTGCTCACAGTCTCTCTCATGTACACACTGTGCAAAGTTTCCTAGCACTCTTTAGCAGACTGAAGACCCCTTATGTATCAGCTGGCTATCTTCCAAACTCAGGATTATGCTAGCCGATGCTTTCTCGTTCTTTCTCCAGTCCCCATCATCCAGGGCTGCAGGTGAATCTGTAACTATCATCCACAACTCCTCCTTTCACAGGTACATCTCCATTTTCAGACACCAGGAGAAGTAGTTTGTCTCATTCAGATGAGAAATTACGAAACCTCCTCACATTATGCGGTTGGAGTCCATGTTGCCTGCTACCACCACAAACCACTACAAACCACAAACCTTAACTCCTTTGGCTCTGGATCAAGCTCTCACTGAGTTTCTCCTCTTTCTGGGCCCATAACCTTTCAGAACATGCACAGTCTTATTGCGCTGAGATAACCCAGGAGTGAACATAGTAAACAGTGGTTTGTATTAAATGGTGGTTTAACTTACATTACCTACAACATCATATACCAGGAACAATATACATACACATGCTAATACAGCATAATCCAACAAACCACAATTACAGCAGGAAACGGAAGAGAGAGAACACATCAGCAGAGCCTTCCCTTTATACAAAAGTTCTTAAAGAGACACAGACCCTGCTGAGTCATTCCCATCATTACATTACATCTTACATTACATAAGCTGGTTAGCTGTTAAATCAATACTTTGACAAACATGTATTTGGAAATCGATATATCTAAATAGTAAATAGGAAATTTTAGACTGGTAATTGATCTAGATTAGAAAAAGCTGACTTTTGGAAGAGAACCAGAATTTTCCAGGTTATCCAGCACCATATGCTTGAAATTTATCTTCCTATGTTTTCAGTATTAAACAGATTTTCTAAGACAACAATTCTTATTCTGAACAGCACTTATCTTTGTTATTAAGGGCTTTATTGATCCCTATAGTTACTCAGAGAATCCATGCCATATGGATCCTTCAATCCCTCACTCATATTACCATCCTGATTCATGATCCAGTCTAGGGTTCAAAGACATCCACTCTAGATTTCAAAGACAACTAAATTAAGTTCTGACTTTGTTCTTCTCTCCTAACAGCCGGAAGGAAGGGGAAAAAAAAGGAAAAAGCAGTTGCATAGTTGAACATTCACTAGGCAAGGCTAGAGTGACCTCCAAAATGTCCCAAGAAAGGAGGAAATGATGAAAGAAGGTCAGTAAGAAGAAATGCATTTTTAAGAAAAACTAACCGCATTCCTACTTCAGGGAGAGGCACTTACCCTGGTAACAGCCAAGGTCCCAAAGGAAAGTCTTGCAACTCTTTATCCTTGCCTTTAATGTCACAACTACAAGGAAATCCTGCAGGATGAATTTCCAAAGGAGGCACACACATTTCTTTTTTAGCTAGGCTTTAAGAATCCATATTGAGTCTGTCAGTTCCTCCAGGCTCAAATAATAGAGAAATATGGCCTTACTATAATTTGTCACTTATGCTACATCCCAGACAACTTTGATGATAGGCATCAAAAAACAAATGAAATATTAGAGGTAGTCTGAAATTAAACACATCTATTAAAAGCACTAGTGTTATGTTGTAATAACTCTCTATCTGTCTTGCAAAGTAAAAGATAGAATATCCAGCAATGCTTGCATAGGCCCATAATGGATTTGTTCAGTACATTGCATTCTTTATACAGATCAGTCTTAATCTCATAGTCATCAGAAACTTTTTCATATTATTTCACTGATATTTTTGGGTGAGAATCTCAATTTTTGAGATAATAATTTTGAAAACCCAAGTTTTCACACCCTCTGGAATATCGTCTCACACCCCTGGTTGGGAATCCCTGCTCTAAACAAATAAATATTATAGTAATTGGAAGAGCCTGGAATGTTACTGTGGTGCAACAGCAAATCCCAAGATGTTAGTTTCAATATCCTTCAAGACACAATACCTACAAATAACTCCACCCTTTATTATCTGGAACACCTCATATACAGCAGAGCCTTGGAGTGAGTGGTAAGAATTTCTTTCAATCTTTTTTTTAAGTCATATTAATGATGTGTGTTTTAAGCTAGTTTTATTTTTTTTTTCATACAGGCATGAAGGGTTTCCCTTGTAGGTCAAAGTCCCTTATATGCTGAGCACATAATAATATCATTTAATATCATTCAGATGTTCTTCAATCCTAAGCAGTAAAGAGGAATATGTGTTTGCAAGATGTTCTTCCCCTCCAGAATATTTGTTTCATTTATAAGGGCTCAGAAAATAGTACACATTGTTTACACAAAAATTCTCCTCCCTCCAAACTCTTGAGTATTACTGTAATCAGAATTGCCTGTTCATCAAGTTTCATGATTCACGGTTCCTTTACAATAGACACCCTTCTGTTTAGCTTTTGCCTTTTTATAACCTTTTATTCAATCTTGTTGTCATCTAATTACAAATGTCCTTTTCTTTCGATATATGCTTCAAAATAACGATTGCATTGTTTTCAAGTATTATTTTTTTAAAGAAATTGCTTCTGATATATTTATGAGATTGTGAAGATAATTGCATATTTTTACTGAATACAATAATGCCTCTTGTTATCATAACATTATCTTATCAAAGTGAAAATGATTTCAAGATTATGTGGATTAAACGATTAAATGAACAAATGAACTAAATATTCTTGTGTAATGTTTGCCTAAGCAGAAAAGTTTAAATTTGTGTGAAACAACAAATGTGGCAACTGATTCAATCCCTCAAGGCTGCATAGTAATATAAGGTACTCATTCTTATTATAACAATGTTGTCAACATCAAAAACATATTGGCTTCAATTTGTAATTTAGTTGCTTAAAAATGTCTGGCAAAAACACAATAATGCTATAGGTTACATTGCTATTTTACAGATACTGAAGATGTTTTTGTTTCTCATGATGTCTCTTTTGGTTCTGGAGTTCAATGATTCCAAACAATTGTCAAGAACAAAGAAAGAAGTGAACCCTGAAACATTCATGAATATTGTAAGTTTAACCTAGTTAATATACTTTAGTACAAAATTAAATACATTAAGGGTTGGAACCCCATTGTCAATTCTAATCCGGTTTCTGAATCAAGACTTCATATATACAATGGTAAAGGTTATACTAGTAAGTTTACATTTGAATCAGTTATTTTAGAGTTTGCAATAATCAAGGGGTACTCATAGGCCAATGGACACCTACCTCAATATCTAAATAAGAAGGGAGTATACAGTTTTGTCTCATTCCTTTGCCAACCTGGAACCCATTTGTTTCACCATATTCTGTCTAGAGAAGAGACTTCCTGATCTACAGTATATATGTGGTAAGTTTCTCATGAGGTCAATGAAATGCTCAGGGAATCCCATTTTTTCTAAGGACATCTATAACAATGTGATAGACATAATCAAGGACTTTCTATAATCAAGAAAGCAGATATTGACTTCTTGCTGGTGGTCTTTGGTTTTCTCAATTATCCAGGTGTATCAATATTTTACGTTCCTTGGATTATTTTAAAAGCCAGATTGAATATCTTGCATCTCTTTTTCTCTTCTTCTTTACTTCCTCTTTTACCATGTTGGTTGGCAAGGGCTCTTTAATCTGCACTAGATGATCCTGAGCCAGTGGTTTTCAACCTTTTTAATGCCGTGACCCCCAACCGCTCATAAGTTGAGGACTACCCAACTGGTCGTAAGTTGAGGACTACCCAACCGGTTGCAAGTCGAAGACTTTCCCTGCCCGGGAGCGCCGCACATGTGTGGTGCCGCCCCCTGTGCCAGCCGAGGCGTAGCTGGCAAGCAGCAGAGACGGCACAGGCCGACCACTGGCTGGGCCACCAGCTGGCCCAGCCCAAGGGAGGTAAGGCACCCGCCGGGCCCCACATGCACCAGCAACAGACAGTAAGTGCCGCCTATGCAAAGAAGCTGAAGAAACAGTGGACCACTTGGTAAGCTGTTGCAAGAAGATTGCACAGACTGATTACAAGCAGCGGCATGACACAGTAGCAACAATGGTGCATTGGAAGATCTGCAAAAAATATCATTTGCCTGTAAGCAAAAACTGGTGGAATCATAAAATAGAGAAAGTCATAGAAAATGATAAAATTAAATTGCTCTGGGACTTCAGAATTCAAACAGACAAGCACCTGCAACATAACACCCCAGACTTAACAACTGTCGATAAGAAAGACAAAAAAGTCTGGATAGTGGATGTGGCAGTGCCTGGAGACAGCAGAATAGAAGAGAAAGAGCTGGAGAAGATAACAAAATACAAAGACCTACAAATAGAAATAGAAAGACTGTGGGAAAAGCAAGCAAGGGTAGTACCAATAGTCATAGGCACCTTGGGTGCAATCCCAAAACAACTGGAGCACCACTTGAACACCATTGGCATTGACAAATTTGCCATTAGTCAATTGCAAAAAGCAATTCTAATCCGGTTTCTGAATCAAGACTTCATATATACAATGGTAAAGGTTATACTAGTAAGTTTACATTTGAATCAGTTATTTTAGAGTTTGCAATAATCAAGGGGTACTCATAGGCCAATGGACACCTACCTCAATATCTAAATAAGAAGGGAGTATACAGTTTTGTCTCATTCCTTTGCCAACCTGGAACCCATCTGTTTCACCATATTCTGTCTAGAGAAGAGACTTCCTGATCTACAGTATATATGTGGTAAGTTTCTCATGAGGTCAATGAAATGCTCAGGAAATCCCATTTTTTCTAAGGACATTCTATAACAATGTGATAGACATAATCAAGGACTTTCTATAATCAAGAAAGCAGATATTGACTTCTTGCTGGTATTCTTTGGCTTTCTCAATTATCCAGGTGTATCAATATTTCACGTTCCTTGGATTATTTTAAAAGCCAGATTGAATATCTTGCATCTCTTTTTCTATTCTTCTTTACTTCCTCTTTTACCATGTTGGTTTGCAAGGGCTCTTTAATCTGCACTGGATGATCCTAAGCCAGTGGTTTTCAACCTTTTTAATGCCGTGACCCCCAACTGGTCATAGGTTGAGGACTACCCAACTGGTTGTAAGTTGAGGACTACCCAACCGGTTGTAAGTCGAGGACTTTCCCTGCCCGGGAGCGCTGCACATGCTTGGTGCTGCCCCCTGCGCCGGCCGAGGCGTAGCTAGCAAGCAGCAGAGACGGCGCAGGCCGACCACCGGCTGGGCCACCAGCTGGCTCAGCCCAAGGGAGGTAAGGCACCCGCCGGGCCCCACGCACACCAGCAACCCTCCCTGCGCCCGTCGGCCTCCCACCTCCCACTCCTGGCCCTCTGTTACTTACATTTTTAGTAGTTGCTCAGCAGGGAGGGGTGGAAACTTCCAGACAGCTCGCCTTCGCTGCAGACAACTTGCAGCACCATTTGCAGAATGGGACTTTTGGCAGGCTCAGCAGGGCAGAGACAGCCTGGACAATTCCTATTGGCTTTTGAAAGCCAATAGAATTAGACTCTTTCAAAAGCCAATAGAATAAAAGGGAGTAGCACAGCTAAGGAAAAGGGGGAAAAAATGGCGGACTGCGTTGTTTGGCGACCCCCGTGAAATGGTCATTCGACCCCAAATGGAGTCCCGACCCACAGGTTGAGAACCACCGTTCTAAGCATTATTTTGCTAGTGTGTGAAATAGAACCATAGTTTGTACAGCTGTTAAGTCTCCTTTCTTTGGTGTTGGAACATAGATTTACTTCTTTGTGACCACTGTGTCATTTTCTAGGTTGGCTGGCATATCTTAATTAAAATCTTTACTGATTTTTCTTCTGTTGCTTATTATATTTCTTTTCCTCCCTATTTTTTATTTGATTCAAAAGAAAGTTAAAATACAGAACTCCCCCAAAAAATCCCCAAAAGGATAAAACATAAAACAATCAAGACATTTTAAAAAAGTATATCAAAATGAAAAGAAAAAAACCCACGTATACATATATCCCCACTAACTGATTATTGATTAATACATTACTACAATATTGGTTCCTATCCCTTGCAAAACATTCCCCCCCAAATTTTTTAAACTAGTAAATCTACTTGCAAATTATTGACCCGTCTTTTACATACTATATTAATGATGAAATAGTTAACAGGAATAATAATAATAATAATAATAATAATAATAATAATAATAATAATAATAATCCCCCAGTGAGGCACTACCTTGACGTGGTTGTGGGGCTTGTGTACTCTGAGGAAGATGAGAGCTATGCCAGAGGTTCAACCATACTGGACAGGTCTCATCAGAGGAGTCAGACAAAGAGTGTCTCTCCCATAAAAAATATGGTGAGACGTAAATTTCAGAATGCCATACCGGCTCGGACGTCGCCGGGTTAACAAGGTCCGCACTAGATATTGGAGTTCCTGGATATCTGGTGAAAAATGGGTTACAGGACTCAGGACTGTTGGCTGAGCAACCAGGGCCAGCAGCAGAAGAACTACTGGGAAGAAAAGGTGTTTACCCGTCGCAGATACACAGTGATGGAAAACAAAGAAATAATGATCTGTTACTACAGATCAAGTCCAACAAGACGAGGATATCTAAAAAAATGCACCAATTCTGGAAAGAACAACATCCAGAATCAGAAATAACAGAACAGAGACTAGCAGATCAACGCCGATTTATAACACGAAATAAAGTATTTACAGAAACAGAATTAGACGAACTGCAAAGGTTTACCCAGGGCAAAGAAATCAAAGCCTTACAAGAAGTAATTCAGAATGTAGAGGCAAACCAGGGGGAGTTGGCAGTGAAAGAATCCAGTAGAGATATACAACTGTTCTCATTTGGAAACCAGGCACCTCTTCCTCAGGAAGAACAAAACCCTCTAACTAAAGAAATAAAAGAATTGAAACAAAGAATAACTGAGCATCTAGAACAGCACAAAAACAACAGAATAAGGCTGCCTGATTGAAGCTTGTTCCAAAGAAACAGCTAGCACAAGCATTAAAAGATGCAAATACTGCAATATCAAGTATAAGCACCAATTCACTGCAAGAAACAAACAATTAATGTACAGCACAGCTGCAGTTATAACAAATCCTGGGATGGTAAAATCAACAAAGAAGAAAAACAAACAAACAGTGCACCAGAAAAATAGACTAGAAAAATAAGATCAGCAAGTTAAGATCACATGCAAGCAAGCTAGAACAGATGAAAGAAAAGAAGCTGAAGAACAAGAAGACCAAAGAATACCTAATCAAGAAATACCACTTAGAAACAAGGAAGATCAAGGAAACACTGGAAATAATAAAGCAACAATAACAGCTATAGCCAGGAAAATCAGTAGATATGAAGCTCGAATTTGCAAACTATAGGCAGTAAACCTCCAATTTCAAGTCCAATCAGAAAACGTTTCTTCTACCAATCCATCAATGGAAACTGCAAGGAATCAGTCAGGACCTGACAAGGAAGAAACAGTGCAGTTCTGGAAGCAGATATGGGATAACCCAAGAAATACAACAAGGATGCGGCTTGGTTAAAAGAGGTGGATGCAAATAAAACAGAAGTTGAAATGAAAGAACTAGTAATAACAACAAAAATGGTAGAAAAAAGAGCAAGGAAAATCAAAAATTGGTCAGCACCAGGTGAAGATGAACTGCATGGGTTTTGGTTGAACCATCTAACTGTTATACACCCACTCATTGCCAAGCAGTTCAACA